TTTCTAATACCTTTGCAGGCAAGCCAGACACTTCTGCTTCATCTGCACTGAATCCACATGCTTAACACCTTTTGACAAAATGGATGCAGCCTCCCTGTGGCTTGGAATTGATATACACTGTCAAAAAGGGTTTTCTGAATGGTCTTTCTCTGTCACCTTTACCAGATTTTTATCCTGTGTTGTAGAAATGTGCAGTTTAATGTTGCGTTTCAAATCATTTTTGCCTGAAAAAGTGTGTAATGGAATCAGGGTGTCCCCTGAATACTCCTAACAGTTGGAGATGTCTCTTTGTTTTGAACAATGGAATCCCAATAGACCTGTGACAGCAGTGGAATTACACTCTTGATCTTGTTCACTAAAGTGTTGCTTTCTCTGTATGATGAAATAAGAGTAACCAACAAGAGCTTCCTCTAAAATGTATGAGTTTCCTCTATTTGTTTCTCATAAGAAACATATAAAGGACACTGCAATTTTCAGCTGATTGTCTTTTCCACAAAAGAAAAAACAAACAAATAAACCCAAAGTCCTGCTTGATTCAAGAAGAGGTGGTAGTTGTTAGCCACATTAAAAATGCAAAAGCAGTTGATACATCAATATTTTCCCTAAGCCAGTGTTGCTACATTCTGAGCATCACAGGAGCAGTACAGCTCAGTGGCAGATTTTTATCTTGTTGTTGCTTCCTTCTGCATGTATTTTAAATTGAATGTATACTAAGGCATCAAATACAATTTCTAAGTATTGAATCTGAATATAGAAAATAACCATATACTTAATGTTTTATGTGAATTTAGGTGATCGTTATGGACTACACAGTCATGTCAATCCAAAAGTTAAATACACTGTTTTGTGCAGATGCACATGCAGCCTTTTAAGCTCCTGGTGTTTCTTTTCATTTGCCTGTGACTGAGCATAGACAGCTGTAGGATTTACCATGACTGCTGGTCCTGCCTTGTGCATTGAGCCACTGGCACATCTCTTGCACTCTATTTACTTATTCACGGTGTGGCTTCTCTCTGGAGCAGAAGAACTCGAGAGGCCAGAAGAGATACAAAATCAGATTCTTGTTTCTTCCATTTTAGGCTACTTCAGCTGTGTTTTGGGGAGATTTTTCTCCAAAATATCTGTTTACTGTGAATATCCCAGCTCTGGAGTAGCAAACATACTTTCATTGTCATGCAGAGCATGTGAAATGCAATGGCAGGTACAATCCTGTAGTTCCTGTGGGTGGGGAGTTAGGGTTCAAAAGAGAGAAAAGGACTCAGGAAAGTCTAGTCTGTTTTTAGAAGAGACCAGAATAAGTGACATACTGGCCTCCATGGCCTCAAGACTTCAGAGCAGTTTCTTACTGTAGACAATGCTGTGTGGAGAGGGCATCAGAGCATGAAGGGCAATGCACTGAGGAGGCTGCAGATCTGTAACTCCTGATTTCCAATCCTGCCAAAAAAAGCCTTTGTTTTTTTAATTACTATTTCATTGGTGATATAAATTAATGATTAGTATGGGTCTGAAGCAACCTTGTCATCAGAGAATATTTGGTTAGTGTTGACATACTTGTTTCTCTGCAAACATGAATCATCCATCTGTCTTTGGCAGGCTCGCCCTGTGGCTCTGCTATAATGTGTTTCACCAGTGTGGTGGAAATTAAAATGTCACTATTAAACATGGCAAAATCAGATGCTGTCTGGGCACCACGTCTATTCAAGGAGTTCTTGCTTCCTATGTAGTTATTTCTGACAGTTTAATAGGACAGCTGTATTCTGGCATAAAACAATACATTCACATATCCTCAATACATGGGGAGTTAAATGCTTTCAGAACACTATTTCCTTGCATACATGAGTGTTTCATGCATGGCAGAAGCAGTAATGCTCATGTAACACCGTGTTGCTGCTTAGGCCATTAGGAAGTGTAAAGTCAAAATTAATTGTCCTGCAGGACCATATAGAGTGGGTCTCTAAAAGCAGTTGCTGGAGCTGTTTGCAGCTGCTGCATCAGCCAGGCTCCTTCCTCGTGAGCAGTTATTGACTCTGGGCTACTGAGTTCAGGACTCTGGAGGTTGCTCAGTGGAAAAAGCCTTCAGTTGCTGCTTGGCAGCTCTGTCACTGCAAGGTCATGGAAAGGGCACGTCAGTCTCCAAACCCAATTAGGGCCTTATTCGGCACCTTTTCAATCACAGGGGAAAATACCACTGAGCAGGGTGCCTCCCAGGCCAGGCTTTTGTACCCAGTCTCCTCAGTGATACAGCCAACAAATGTGTCCCTTTTTGTCACTTGAGCCGTCAGAAATACACTTTGCTGTTGTGAAACAGCTAAGCAGTTAGTGCAGAAAGGTAAAGAGCCCAGTATGGGCTTATAAGCTCACCATAGTTGAATTTGGACCAGTGCCTTGTACGTGTATGTCTGTGTCCCTCCCTTTACTCATATCTAGAGCTGTCTCATTCTTCAAATCAAATCATTTGACTCATATGAACAGCTGTAACTTGCAAGTTGAATAAAGTCCAACTGCTGAAAACATTAATGAAAAACATAAAACTCTCTTTTACCGCATATCAACAGTATTGCTTTAATTCCTCCCCCTCTGATGATTTTTTTGTGTGTGTGTGCTAGGTTGTGCTTTTCATCCCAGGTGGCTGCCAATTCTGGTGAAAATAAGTTGAGCTATGAAAGGTTGACCCACTCGCCTCTGAATTGCTTTTTATATGATGTGAATCCCTCAGGGCCCAATTCTACCCACAGAAGTGAGAATGACAGCTTTCAAAATATATATGAAGTATGTAGTGTGCACAAAGAAAAGGTGAACCCCAGACTGGTCTGAGTGGTCTTTAAAATATGGATTTCCTGTGAAATGGTGATTAAAGAGGAAGCAAAGAATAATTAGAAAATTACCCTGATGTACTAGCAGTTATGCCAATGTGTGGTTTTATATTAGCTCTTTCAGACAAGCAAAAGATCAGAAAATCCCTTATGACTCACTTAAACTAGTGTGTAAAATTTGGTTTAGAGTCTAATCAGGTCCTTTCATCAGTCTAGACTAGATTGTCAGAGTACATACTCTGTACTAAACCCACAGACCCCTTAAGCAGAGGCCTACTCAAGTGAATCAAATAACATATTAAAAAGTTATATAAAATGTTCACTGTCTGAGTAAATTAATCTCATTCAAAGCTGAATACCTTAGGAATTGCAAAAATAAAAGCAGAATTGTTGCAGAAGAGAGGTGTTAGCGTTCTTAATTCATATTTAAACGACTGTTTCAGAAATGCAAAAGAAAAAAATTCAGCAAACTTTTATTATTTTTGATTGGATTGGCATTTTTGTAAGTCTGTAGTCAGATTTCCTAAAGGAGGAAAAATAATCTGTCAAAAATTATGCACAAATGTTTTTGGAAATTAAAGAGTTGCAACTTCTATGTCTGTCCCAAGTACACAATATCGGTTTTAATTAAGGACGAGTGGGAACATTCAGTATGTAGGCTGCACTCTTGCCACCTCTAATTTCTACACAGAATTATTTTTAAGGAAGTGCTATGAAGTCCAAGAGCAGTAGATTTGTTACTTTTCAAAGCAAAGCCATTTTGCCTTCATTGCCAGAGCTTCTTCACACATCTGCCAATGTCGTACCATCCTGAACCTGTCTGCTCTTTCCCACATGAATCTCAGGAATGTGAGATTTTACTCATAGGTAATGCTCCTGCTTTCTGCATACTAGCAGTAGTAGATGACAATTTGGAGGCAATTTTAGTCAAATGACCAATCCACAAGACTTGGAAATCTGTCTAGCACCACTAATCTTGGAAATTCAGGTTTGTACCTGAGTTGATTTTCTCAAGATGCCTGGGTTTTGAATTTAGAAATTTAAGTTTTCAGTCTTTTTGTGTCTGCTGTATTTGTTGGTTGCATTCCAGTGGCATCAGAACACCTGGCATAGAGGCAATGACAGTAAATCAATCAAAAGGTCAAGGGAGGTAAGATAGCTCATACATAGGACATCAGTGGGGTGAAAATATTGCAGAAGTGGGACCATTTAAAACATAGAGAAACTGGAATCCAAATGGCAAATACTTCTTCTAGCTACACCAAATTCTGTCTAAATTCAACATGAGTGCTGTTATCCAAACACTGAATTAATCTACTGATGGCTGAGAAACAGTTCCACAGCAGGCATTAAAGTCTTTGGGATGATACATAGTTTATCGAAAGTGCCAGGCATTGCTCTACTTACAGAGCTGCCTAAATAATGGAAAGATAAAGGAACATAGTTCTGTGAGTGAATACATGAATGCAGAATGTAGTAGAAACATTGGGTAAATCCTTCCCTCCTGTGACTTGTCTTCCAGCCAGTGGCATTACACCAGGGAAAGATTGGACCATATTTTGTGTGCAGCATATCAGATTGTTAAGAGGCAACAGGCAGGTGTTTGAGAAAATTTTCTCTCTGTGGTTTGCAGAACTGTATATCAAATCTCCTGACTAATCTACAGTCATACCATTACCTACCATCTTTCAGCACGTAACTAGGTAAATTTGTGTTAAATAGGATTAGAAATGTTCTGACATGACATATGACCAATTAATGATTGGAAAGTGCTTGGATGAGTCATTTGAAGCCAGTAGTTTAGACAGTGTCAGCCACAACTGGTATTAAAACCTGCAAAGAATTGTTCAACAATCAGTGATTCTGCAGCATCTCCTCTGGGTGTCTGCATTTCACTTAATAAAGATACCCTGTAGACATCAATTGAAATAACTCTTGCCTTTGTTGCTTGGATGTTTTTGTGAGCTCTAAAATGAACTCAGCTTATACAAGTATACTTTGTTACCCAGCCTAAAGGATGCAGGGCAGGAATTATCCTGTTCTGCTGACAACCTGAGTAGAAAAGAAATGGCTTTATTTGACTGTAATTCTGAATAGAATAAGTGTGTGGCTGTACCCTGTGGTTTTTCTGGGGGTTTTTTACTTTCTTTTTTTTTCTGTGCTGATGATGTTTTATTACTTTTACAGAGCCATAATAATCCGAAATGGCGAAGTCATTCCAATGTCTTCAGAATTCACTCCAGAAACTGAACGCCAGCGACTTCAGTATCTGGTAAGAGACCGGAGGACCAAATCAGGTGCTGCTGATGCCAAGCATTGCCCAATAATATCAAAGGCACAAAGAAATGTTCCTGAGTTACTGTGGCTCAGTGAACGATGATGTGTCCACTGAGCACCAGTGACTGATCACGTATGTCTTTAAGCCATCAGCAAATGTGGAGAAAATCCTAGTGGTGCAAATCTCAGTGAAAGGGGTATTACCTCTTTGGCAAAGGCCATCGATTAGCATGGCTGTGCTTGTGTACATTGTTCAGCTGCAGACCCTTCAGCAGCACACTGGCATTGCATTTTGAGAGCTCAGAGACAGAGTTAATGAGCCACAGATGTATTTCAATCCATCCCAGTGCCTGCTGTGTGACAGTATAAAATACCGCAGACTGCTCTTTGTATGTGAGTGATATTGCAGAGTTCGATTAATTTACTCTAACAGTATGGCAGTAGTGTCTCCATCAGGAGAAAGATAGCCAACTTAGAGGTGATCTCAGTGAACATCAGTAGCTGGAGGATAGGATGGGTGATCCAAGATTAGTTTTATTTACTGTAGCAGCACCCATAAAGCTGGGATAGGGTGACTAGCTGGGGATACATGGGATGCTTTATAGACCAAGCTGTGTTGGCTGATAAGCTGCTTGAGAAATATAAGTCAAAATGTATGGTGTTATTTTTCATACAAACCATCATGTTACTTTTTAAGGTTTTCTTCAATGGACAGATCAGTTTGTTGAAGTCAATTAGTTGTTTGTCAGAATGTCATTCCTAACATGGCTGAGAGATTTCCTTTGTGCTTCTTCTGTTTCTTTTAGAAATTTAAGCTTCAGCCAAGGCAGGGTCATTCTCAGTCTTGCCTGACTCAGGGTGGACAGGCCAAGGTTAGTGATGTTCCCAGGTCTTAAGGTGTTTTCTATTTTCAGCCTAGTTTTTCACTGTGGTTTAAAACTAGACAAAATGATAGTGTTTGAAAGGTGATGGTGGAAGGTTTTAAAGAAAAACTTGTGTTTCCTCAATTGTCACATTTAATTTTTTTCCGACAGATTCATTGGCTTGAAGCTGAAAATTTCAGAGGAAATACTGCTTTGGGACTATTCATATTCATAGAACCAAATGGAAAAGAGGCCTAATAAATATTTACAGTTCTGTTACATTTAAAATCATTTGTTTGCCTCTAAAATAAAAGGTATCTTTAGCATCTAGGGAGTCTGCTACTTCTGTAGGAAATATGAGATAAAAAACATTGCCTACAAGGGTTTTTGTTTTCCCTTTTGATGTCCTTTCTGGCTTAAATTTGAAACCTGTAGCTGATCTGAAAAGCATTTCTGCTGTTTCCTGTGGAAAATTCCTTTACCTTTGTTTGTATATTTTAATTCTGTATGTAACAAATATGCCAGGTCTATGGGTATCATGTTCAAAGAGAATACATGCAAGACAGCAAGAGCGTGAAACAAAATTACAGATCATTTCAAACACAACATTTCTTAAGTAAGATTTTTACTCTTGTGTTTAAAAAAAAAGAAAAATAAAAAGATTACTCCAAACTTCTTTCAAGGTTGGCGTAAGCATTACACTCCAAAGTTTGCATCTGTCTTGCTAATTATGTCCCAAATAATTCCTCTTATTCACTTGTCTGTCCCCGGCTTCTGCTATTAGTCTGTTATTCTGTTATTCTGCCATGAACATCTCTCATTTCTTGTTCTGTCTGAAAGTTATTTACTTTGAGTCTATTTTCTTATTTGCAGTTAAAGCTGAGTTTCTTTGTTTCAAGTATGTTGTGCTGCTCTTCCTGCACAATAGGAAGAAAATCCCTTAATCACTTTAGCATTAATATTTTACTTGGTAAATGCAGAGATACTGTTCACTATGAGGAAGTTACTGTAAGGAAAAGGAGGATATGGATTTACAGCCTGCAGGCTGTTCCCTGTGCAGCAGACATGGTTGGTGCAGTCAGGATGAAGAAGCTTCTCTCTGCCTAAATTTAGTTCCTTCAGTAACACAGGATGTTTTTTTACACCCTCTTTTCTGAGCCTTAACTTCTGTGTGGAAAGAAATCCATGGGATAATGAGTTGTGCAGGTCATGTGAGTATCTTGTATGAAGTCCTCCAATCTAGTCTTAGACAAAACTGTGCTTCAGCTAATACTGATTGAGTAACTGAGAGGGGAGGGAAGCAAATGTTTTCCCTGTCCTGGCAAGTTTATTACCATGCATCCAAGAATGGCCTTGGCAGTAGGCCTCTGGCATGGACACCTGAAAAGAACAAGTTCACTATCCATTTGTTCTGACTTTGAAGCAGCTCTGAGCCTGGTCATCACTCCATAGGAGGGCAGTGGTGGGGCAGCATCCAGCTGCAGACTTAAGACAGAAATGGCAGAGATAGACTTCTCTGTCAGGCAGCTTTGTGAGAGTACTGCAGAAGGTAATCAATCGTTCAGTCAGAGAGCACTTCTTAAGATGTAAAGTGTGAAAGCTTTGCACCAGTATTCCCTTGATCCCTCAGTTTCTGTAGAGGTTCAGTGCACCATGTTGCTTCCCCTCCACTGGTGGGCATTCAAAAACCTCCTTTTCTTCTGAATTTGTGTCTTTTTTGTTTTTAGAACTGTAGCAGGAGAGCTCCACACATCGCTTGGGAAAAGTCCTGACTTCCCGTATCAGTGTATCTTCAAGGGAAAAAAATCCAGTATTTACTGGGAGCTGCTCTGGTACATTCAGCAGTTGTGCAGGCAGTGATAGCCAGAAGAATTTTTTCTTTGATCTTCTGAGGAGACTATTAATTTCAGTCATTATAGTCTAAATTGCAACAGTAAATAGGTTAGATTTTGTTACTTATTCCCTTGGAAAATGTGTTTAAAATGAATGGTGAATTGAGTGTACTGCAGATGTTTGTATTTCTGTTAGTTACTGAAGTTGCATATTCAAGATGTCATGTGAGGTCAATGTGGTGTTTGTAGCATCTTCATGTGTGCAGCCAAACAGCCCTTCTAAAGTTCACCAGAAATGGTGCACCACTGCTACCAGTGCAGGTGTCACTGCTCATAGAGACTGGGCGGCCACCAGTGACAGTGACCATGGTGCTCTTTGTGTTTGCCACCATTCAAGCAAAGGTTCATGAGCCCAGACAGTCATGGGCTCAAAGGGCATCTATTCTTATTGTGTTGCTCAGGTGAGGATAAGAGTGACACTAATACTCAGCTGCTGAACGATGCCTGCAGAACCTGAGCCTGAAGAGGAAATGAACCTAGATCTCCTAAATGTCCAGTCAGCACTTCAATTACAAGTCAGTCAAGATATAATTCTCTTACAGTTTTTGGCTTCCTGTATCACCCAGCATAGGATTACTTCAGCCATCTGACACTGATGGTCCCGTGGAAGGGGTCCTGGCCTTTCACAAGATGAGAGACCAATCAAGAGATGGATTTGTCTTCTAGTCTTCTCCTTCCTTTTACCACCACATCCTCTCATTTTTATTTCTCTTTGCTTTAAATGTGTCCCTATGATAATGGCTGAGTCATTTGCAAAACTCCTGAGTGCGTTGGGCTGTGCATGCTGTTGTGAGCAATACTCCCATATAGTAAAATATTCTTTTGGAGGAAAGGGCACAATATAATAAAAGTATAAAGTTGTAAGATAATAGCTAGTGTAGGGGAAAGCAGCAAATCTGAAAATAGCACAGAATGCAGTGAAACCACTAGTGCCAGAGACTTTTCAGTGCAGTACCTACTGAAGGAACTGAGAAACGCAGTGTCAGGTCTTACTGAGTTGCAGATAAGATACATGCAGTGTTTCCTGCCGCCTAATTAACTGGCATGCTAGTGTGTAAGTCTAGGTTTGTCTTAATTTCATGTTTGCTTTTCTAATCACCAGGAAACACAGCAGGAAGTAAATGCTCTTTTGAAACAACCATGACTAATATTTCTTTGACTGAACTTCATTTTAAACAACTTAATTTTGAATGCAATACATCCAGCCACAAAATACCATAAAATGGCAGAGTACCAAAAACACAGAATGCAGACTGTGCAATTTATGCCAAAAAGCTCTAACAGCTTCTGAAAGAGAAAATATGACAAATGCTCCAGTTCCATAAAACAGAATAACAATGTTGTCTGAAAATACCTCATAAGGTTATAGGAAGTGTTTGATAGCCACACTATTTGTTAAATTTCAGGTTTCCTGAGTGGTGTTTCTGATCTGAGGTTCTTGCAAATTGATACTAAACAAATTTAAATATGGAAAATACATTGCATCAGAGCAGGTGAAATTCTGGTAGTTAGTTCACATATATTTTTTTGTTGTTTGATCACTTGAGGGGATTTCATGGTTCTGGTTGTATATCTGTTTTAAAGATCTGTAGATTTTTAAAGTGTTGCTTTTTGTTTATTTTCTTGTTCTGCTGTCCAGCATGGTTTTATTGAGGTGGGGAGAAGAGTCCTGCCTTGTACATGGAGAACAGTTCTCAACAACCCCAACTGGAAATTGCAGCTGAGTTTTGTAGCAGAACATTCTTCTCTCCTAACAGTTTAAAAATGGTAAAAAATATGTAAAATTAAAAAAGAATAAAGCAAAGCACAACAAAAATCCCCATTTCTTCATATAAGAATTCAGATCGCAGACATCAGAAGCTTCCAAATTGCTCTTTTCCCTCTGTTTCGCTGATGCCAAAAATATTAGAATCAAGTTAAGATCCCTGGATTGTAAATCAAGCATTGAGGCTTGGCTGCAGAAGAGAAGTCTTATTTGAACATTAGCAGTCCACTGGTAACTGTGCCAGCTTTATTAATCTTATTTCAGTTATAAACTCAGACTTTCCATCTGAGTACATCGTTATGCAATGCAGTCTCTCCTGGTTGCTTTACCTTTTCATTAAAGAAAATTCTTGTTTTTAAGTGAAAAAAGCTAAAAGTCTGTAATGTTTTTCTTCTGGACCTCTTATTCAGGCTAGTAATCTCACAATCTGAAGGTTAGATAACTTCATTTTGATATCAGGTGTGATTTTTTTTTAAGTATGACCTTGTTTTGTAGGCAGGTGACAGTATTTAGCTGGTAGTGGTTTGTAATGTTTTAATCAAGATAGGCTGTACATTTTTAAAAGTAAACTGAATTTCACTTTCAATGCAGATTGAATTTATTGTTTACAATATCACAGACCAGAAGAAATTTTAAAAATACCAAAAACAATCCAGCTCTTTTTTAACATACAAAGAGCAAATATCGTTCATATTATGTGATACATCAAACTATTAGGAATTTTCCACCTTTTTTGCAACTGGAATGAAAATAAATAAAATTTAAAGCTTACATATACTTTTAAATGAAGAAGTTCATTTTTCATACTTCCAGAGAACTGGAAGTATGAAAAGCCTCATGTGGACTAATACTGCTGAACCTCTCAAACGTCACAAGTGCTTCTCAACCATTTCTGTAATGAGAGGGATCCAATTAGAGGGCCCTTGACAACAATGTTTGGGTGGAGAAGGGGACCTTGGCTGACTGTAGACTGAAGGAAAAAAACTGTAATTCCCTTAACTGTACACAGAGAGAATTTGATGGAGTTCCTCTTCCAGGAAGGGATCATGATGTCAAGATCACTTGTGTGCTTGAAAGCTACCTCTTGAAAACAGAATCCAATCTTGTTGGCTATACACAGCACCCTTCCTCAGCCCTGTTCCAACCAAGCTTGAGGTATTTTCTGGAAGGATGGTGGGAGCAGGGACAAGCTGATAGAAAGTTAGCGTTGTGATGTGCTGAGGCTGATAGAGCTCCTATTAAATTGAGTGGGAGCAGGCTCAACTCTTAAATGCAGGAAATATTTTATTGTGAACTATCTGCATGACAGATGCCAGGTAGATCAATAAGGGCTTCCAGTGCTTCCTGCTGCTTACCTTTGATGAGCACTAGATTTATGACATATACACAAACTAAACCCCAGCTCATTTCATCTCTCTTGATGGCAGCTGCTGCTGAAGATAAGACAGGCTTTATTGCCTTAACTGGCTGGATAACGAAAAAGAGTTATCTGCAAAAAGGTTAAGAAAGGCAACTTTTTTTCAGTTCTCTAGCCAATTTGACTGTGTCTTTCATAAGACACTGCACTTTCATAAGACACGCAAAGCTGCACTCACAATGCAGCTTTGCGGAGGAAGAGAGAAAGGCTTGTCTGAGTACTAAAGAAAAAGGAGTGAGATTTATTTCAAAAAGAAGAAATAGAGTATGATTAGGATTAACCTATCGTGTCAAGTGATCTGTGTATAAATTCAATCCAAAAATTTATGCGGTGGACAAAGAGCCTCATGATGCTCCAACTCTGGTCAGCTTTGGAGAGCATGAGTCAAAGGCACAACTCTGGCAAAGAGGCCTCCCAGCATCTGCACAGCAGCGCAACACAAAGGACATGAGCAGCATTTGAGCATTAAAACCATCAAAGGCCTTGGTTGCAGTTGTGACACAAAACTGCTGCTGCTTTTCTTAAAGTCTGTTTTGGATAAAGGATGTAGTTTTTCAAAAACAAGAAAATAAATTGCTTTGTAGCTTGTGTTTATTTGCAATGTCATGTGATGGGGTGCATTTTTCTCGAGGTGGTGACAATTAAAATGTGGTAGCAATGTTAGGTTTTCTGTGTTGTTGGCATAGCTGAACTAGGAGTAAGAAAGAGCTTCACTGCACAATCACCCCTTCAAGTCTCTCCATGGCTTTGTATTTGATCATTCCTTTCTCTCTTGCTGACTTACAAAAGGGCATGTGTTCTGTTTTACAAAGCTCTGCAGACTCCTTCAGGGTCAATGGATGAAGTGTAGTTTTGAGATCCCAAATCTTGAGGAGCAGGGAGCAAAAATAAAGGATTTTGAGGGCAAGAGGACTTCTAAGGCTGCATAAGGCTGCTGCTGGATATCAGGCAGGGGCAGAAATGTTGTATCTGCATTGTTTGCTGAAATGGAGCACATCATTGTCCTTATTTAAAAAGAAAGGTGGGTGGAATTTGTGTGGGAAGGGACCAGGAAGGGATGGTAATACTAGCTCATTAAAAATAGATGATGTCTTGTTTTATGTGGTATCTGTGGTTTGATTTCTGCCCACAGGCTTACATGCAGCCTCACTTGCTGGGAAATGAATTCACACATCTAGAGTTTCCACGGAGGGTGCAGCGCAAGGAAGTTGGAAAGAGGATGCTGTACCGTGACTTCAACATGACTGGCTGGTAAGAATGTGTCCTTCTCAGCGTGGGGTCAGCCTTCTGCCCCAGCCAGTGCCTGCTTCGTACCTCTCTTTGATTAGTGTAAACTGCATCAAGCATGGAGGTCCACTCCTGCATACTAAAATAAAAAGCATTTCCTTCTTTCAGGTGTATCTTTCTTCTAGAAGATAATGTTTTAAATAAGTGGACCTCCCTCCAGAGAGTTCATTGTAGTGTGGGAGCACTCAAAGGGGAGAAAGCATATAAAGGCAAAGATGTACCAGGGGATCTTTCTGAAAGCAAAACAATTTTCATATCTTGGACGTAGTTTTTTATAAATTTTGGATCAGTGAGTCAGACATTTGTCTTTTAAACCAAGGCATTGGACCATCACGCCTTCACATGCTGAGGAAAGCTTGCAGAAGAGAGGAGCTGCCTCCCCTACTCCACTGCAGCTGGCCCTTGGTTTGGATATCCCTTGAGGAATTGTTTCAGACATGGGCCTATCTGAACACAACCAACCTAAAATGAAAAGGTTTGAATGAACAGCATGGACTTAAAGAAGTGCAGACAGAAAGAATGATGTGGGGTTTTTTTGTTTCTGGCTAAATGTCTTCATTGTTTTTTGTTGGTTCGAGAGGCTCCTTAGAGAAGCCCTCACAAGTTTGCTGTTGTGAGTTCTGTGCATGACCTATAAAGGTAAAAGCCCAATATAGGCAAATGGTCTTCATTTCCATGACATTTGTGTTGTAATGTCTGTAGTAAATGTCCTTTCAGGAAGAAAAAGGACAGAGGGGTTAAAAAGAAAGCCTGTTTTAGGTTTGGAAGCCTGGATGCTCACATACAAGTACAGCTCTGCATAACTTTTGCTTTGTTCCATGCTTTATGGACCATAAATATAATTATGTTTTAATGGCAGAATAATGATCTAAGTTTAATATAATCTGAAGTGTTTGTGCAGAACATGTAAATCTGAGAATAACCATCATTGTCTGTCATCTTGAACAGCTGCTAGTAGAATATGCAGTTTCACCCTGAGAATGATGACTTCATATTTTAAAAAGGCTACAGGCATGAGCAAAAGAATAGGAACAGAATGAGAACACTGGATCAACTGAGGACTTAGACAGCAAAACATTTGGAAGCTCATGAGACACTCTCCCAATTTCTGCAGAAGGAGGGGTTTTTTTGTTAAGCTCCCAGATGTCTCTGGAGGCACCAATAAAGAATGGTTTAATGTGGACTTCCAAAAGCTCTTTTTCAAGATGTGACATGCCAGTTGGGAGGAAAAACATGAGGGAGAACTATGATTCAGAAATATCATAAGCCAGGAACTTCCTGAGAAGAGGGCAAGAACAGATTTCTGTCATCATGGCTGGAAAGCAAAGAGGTTTCTTCAGTTTCGTGGGAGTTGTTTTGCATTTCCCTGGTTGGTTAGTGGTCTGGAAAGGAAATGAGGTTGGAGTGGTTGAAGTTGCAGCATTGGCAGGTGACACCACAGCTCTTTTCCTATTAAACAAGAATGACCATGAGGTACTGCAAAGAATTAAGTGATTAACGCAAATGACCATCACAGTCATCAAATTTGGTATTGATAAATACAAAGTAAAGCATGACGAGGAAAAAAATAACTATTTATGCACACTAGAGGTTCCAAATCGAAAAGTCAGAAAACTCAGTGGAAGATTTTGCTTACTACAGTATTTTTTCCAGTCCAAATCACCAGCAGAATGTTGAGATTCGTACAGCAATAGACAGTTGAAAGGTTAAGTGAAGAGATAATTCTGTATATTTCTACCTCACTTGTGAATGTATGCATAGCACTTTACCTTATCCAAAATGGTTATTATATGGTTAATACTGTTTGGCATTAAAAAAAGGATCAGAAATTCTAAATGTAGAATAATGAGTAAGGTAGAAGAGCTTTGGTAAATCAAACTGGCAGATTTGATCCAATGTGTTGCTTTTCAGTACTGGTTTGTGAACTCTCTTCACTCTAGCATATAGCAGGGAGGAGAAGAAAGTTTATAGCAGGGAGGAGAAGACTCCTCCCTGCTATATGCTAGAGTGAAGAGAGTTCACAAACTAAGAGCTAAGAAAAATCTTCCATTTGATTTTTCTGAATTTCCTGAAATCTAGGACACATGTTGATCCAGTTAGAAATTCTAATATGGTCAATGCAAAAATTGTCACCAGTTCAGTACAAATATGCTTAGCTGTAGGCAGTTATTCTGGAATAAATGCTTGAACTGCAACTTGAATATTCAAGTCTGAATTCACTACAGTATTGTCCCAGAAAAAGGTGGCTTGTGCCAAGCAGAAGCATGTGGAGACTGTGGTGAGGCTACCTCTGCCTGCTGTTCCTTTTGACTACTGTATGGAAGTGAAAAATGGGGCCTACATTTTTGTCCTAATAAAAGAATTGGAATCTTTCAGCTGCTCCATATTGCACAACTAGTGCATCAATTACCTCTTTGTTTGGTTGCCTCAGGACAATAAAACGATGAGGAAATTGCTCTATTGCCATACATTTGTGTAAAACAGAGCCTTTCTAAATAAGGATCCATTTCTTTTTACAAGGTTTTGCCCAAGGTGTTTGTTATCTGTTGGATTGTGTGCAGTGATCCCCTAGGCAGAGGAGAAGCAATCAGTTTCTGTTTGTCTGAAAGTATGGGTCAATTTTAATGGTTGTGATTATGGACAAAACATTAGATTTCCAGTTTGGTGGGCCCTCAGAGGTGACAGTTTGAGGTGGCAGAGGTTTCTTAGTGTCTGTTTTCCACGACAACAATTTTGCTTCTATTTTCTTCCCTTTCTTATTCCTGAATTCAACTGATGCATCAGGACACAGTGGCCGAGGACGTTTTGTTTTGTCTGTTTTGCATTTGTTTCTAAGGACACTATCTATCATGGAGAATAAATTAGCATATATATTCATTTTCTAGAAAATGTCAGATGGTGTTTTGGCCAGCCAGAGCTTGATACACTAAAATGCTTCTGAACTTTTATCACATACAATGCAGATGATCAATTGTCTGAATAGTTTTTTGGTCACTAACCTCACTGTGTGTTGACATTTGCACATACATGTAGAGAGGTGCAAGTGATTATAGGAAGAAACAGCACCTCTCTTACACTTAATCCTTTGATGAGATAATGTAGAACACTCTCTGCTTTGATGTTTCCTCAGGAAACTAAACTGTTTTGTTTTACAATTCAGTATATTTTTTGTGTTTTCTATTAGAAGCTGTATGACTTTTTTTTCTTCATTTTTAAACTCCTCCTTTGCTCCAGAGCTTTTCAGATTCTCAACAATGGCTTGGCTTGCCCAGCTTGTTTGGATTACAAAAGATTATTGTCTTTGGGTCTGTTATAATGTATTTGGCCCTTTATTTTTTCTTTTTCTTTTTTTTTTTTTTTTTTCATGTGAAGTTTCCACACTGGCTTTGTCTCCACAGCCCACTGTGGTAGCACAGCTGCCAAGTTTCCCCACAGCATTAGGACAACCACTGATCCAGCAATGTGTACTGCATCACTAGCCCAGGCTGCCTGTAACTGCTTTGAGACCAGCCTTTCCCTTCTTGCTCCAGCTCACCTACCCTTTCTCCTTTCTTTGCAGTGGCAATTGCAATGAGAAATTATGCTGTACTAAATATACATAAAATAAATCCCACACTGCTGGGAGCTGACCATGTGCTGCCCTTCCTGCACCCTTGCCCCATGTGCGTTGTGGTTGAACAACAATTGCAAAATGTGTAGTGTAGCTGGCAAGGCATCTTAAGAGCAGTGTGTCCTGCTGAACAAGCTTTCGAGCTGTCTCGAGCCATAATTTGCTGGCAGATATCTGTGTTACTGACAGTCTTTCACATCTGGGTCTCTGGGCTGGGGTTTTCAGGCCCATGCCTTGCAGAGGTTAGACTTGTATTGGAGAGAGGTGTCCTGGTGGCTTTCACAAGTCTTGGCAACAGAAGCATCAAGAAAGACTCAGAGGCCATGTAAGCAGAGACTGGTCAGTGCTAAAAAGTGGGGTGAGTATCCTGAACTGGAAATAGTGGGGGGAAAACAGCAGGCCTGTTTAAAGGACTGCACAGAATTAGTACTCTTTGTCTCTGGCTTTTATTTAAAGCTAAGACACAGTTGGTCAGATTTCCTTCACATGCACATCCAGTGTGAGCAATTTTGAGGTATTTTGCTTTGACTATATCCTAGAACCTTCCGAAACTTGGATTTCTGACTGACTGTGTCCTTCACTGTGGCTCCTTCCAGAGTTCCCCTCCCAGCCTTCTGTGGGGCTGGAAGACCCATACAGCACTGTGCTTAACTAAAGGCATCCAGAAGGCACTACCAGTTGGCATCAGTTTTGGCAGTTTCAAAATTGATTTCTTGCTCCTCCTTGGAACAAAAACAGTGGCTTTACTGCTGCCCACATTGGAGTTCTTTAAAGACTTGTATCCAGACACGACTTCAGCTTTTTGACTTGATTTTAGCACGGCAAAAGAGACCTAGATAACAAGTACCGGTTTTGACCTATTTGTTGGTTGCTTCCTTTGCCCTCCAGGAGAGGCAGAGCTGAGCAGCAAAGCTGAGCTGCACCCCATCAGAAATGGTGAGGCAGTGTAGTGCCCACCACAACCATGGGCTGAAGCCCAAGGCAGCAGGGAGCAGGGGAATTGGGCACAGTCTCTGAGCGTGCTGTCTTTGCTGCAGCAGTGGAGCTCTTGCCAGCTCCGTGTCCATGTGTCTGGTGAGGGGGTGCTGTGGCACATGGGGTCAGCGCCCGAGGCTCAGACCGTGCTGGGGAATCGCCTGCCCGCATGATTTATTCCAAAGCAGGGAGGCTGGTGCCCTGAGGCAAGCACTAAGCAAAACCCATTTTATTCTAGAGTCAATATTGTCCACTGCCTGGAAAGCTGCCAGCCTGCTCTGCGCTCGCCCTTTTCTTTCCAACAGGGAATGTCTTTCAGCCTCTAAGCATCTGATTTAAAAAGCAACTTCACTTTTCAAGCCGTTTTATTTTGTTTGGG